TTTTCTTTGGGGGCAGGCCACAGGCAGGGCTTCTGTCAGGCTCTGTGCTCAGGGATCACTCTGGGTGGTGCTTGGGAGACCAGGTGTGGTGCTGGGGATCAAACCTGGTTTGGCTGTGTGCAAGGCAAGGACTCTACCAACTGTATGATCTCTCCCCCACCCCTTCTTCCCTTACTTAATAAAAGTATTTCAGTTGCTAGGCCAGAGCGATAGTACAGTGGGTAGGGAGTTTGCTTGGTTGGCATGCGGCCGACCCAAGTTCAATCCTCGGCATCCCATATGGTCCTCCAAGCACTGCTAGGAGTAATTCCTGAGTGCAAAGCCAGGAGTAACCGCTGAGCATCACTAAGTGTGACCCTCCCTCTCCACCCCCCCCCCCAAAAAAGAAAGAAAGAACCCTAGTAAACCCCAGTGGCCCTGGAATTTCTGGGCCCAAGCAGCTGTGCATTGCCCTGCCCCAATCTGAAACTGAGTATGGATGAAAGCATCAGTTGTGCTTTGCTTCTCTGAGTCTACCAGAGTGGCCACTGGACTATGCTGCTTACTTCCCTCCCACCCCCCCAGAAAAATACATATAAAAGTATTTCTATTGCTGTTTATTTGCAGACTCCTTTTTCTTTGTTTTGGGGCCACACTCCACAGTGCTTGGGGTTACTCCTGGCCTTGTGCTGGGGGTTGCTCCCAGCAGTGCCCAGGAGACCGTGCTGTGCTAGGGATCAGACCTGTTCCCCCTGATTGCAAAGTTTAGGTGTAGCCCATTGAGTTATTTCTCCGACCTTATCGACATTTGTTTCTTGAAAAATATGCAAAGCTAAAAATTCTGTTAAAGTTTATTTGTTACAAAGAAAGAAAAAAGAAATGTGTACCAGTTATAAAATGACAAAGGTTAAGAAGATACGGAAAATGTGATGGCGCTTCAGCCTGCTAGGGAGGGTGGCCGTGGTCTAGAAGGAGGAAATGTGCTATTACAGAGGAATGCTTGGCTGGGAGGGGGCAGGGAGTTACTACCAGAGAACTTTCCGCTGTCCTCTCTAATTCTGTTTTGTTAGAACTCTTAGAAGGCCTTGGAAGAGAGGGGATGGGAGGGGGGAGTGGGGGTTAAGAATGCCAAAATGTCAACACAGTTTCTGGCAGGCCACTGGGGTTGGAGATCACTTTTTTTCTTCTGTAGTTCAGAGTAAAAGTGTGTGTGTGTGTGTGTGTGTGTGTGTGTGTGTGTGTGTGTGTGTGTGTGTTTGTAAGAAAAATATTTCTTTATAAAAATTTGTATTGGGGGCATTACCCCTGGCCATCACCATTAAATTGAGAAGAATTATATAGGCTTCTCTCTTTCAACAAAACCTTTAGTACTATAGTTTCAGCTGTAACGTGCTTTCTGGTATTTGTTCTAAATAGACCTTTGCTCCAAGAAACTGTTTTTCAAATATTCCTCGGCCCGAATCAGGGCCTCGTCTGCTAGGTTGTTTGCCCTTTTGCCTGTGCTTATTGGGACCACATGTTACCCTCAGTAATCTTTGCACAATATCAGCGGGATTCTCTGCCCTCCCGTGACCTTTGTATCAGAGGGCGGGTGGCAGCGGCGGTCAAGGGGCCTTCAGAAGAGCACATCGAGCCCTTTCTCCCCACTGCCTGCCCTTCCCAGTCAAAATAGTATTTATTTATTTTCCTCATCCTTTCTCCTTTGTTGCTGTTGTGGGGATCACACACGTGCTAGCCGTGTGCCAGAGAGCAAGCCCTGGGGTGTGGTGCCAGGGATCCCAAAAACCAGTGCTGCCTGGATGGTGCCACAAGTTGGGGGGGGGGCCTGGGATTCCACGCAAGGCCCCTTATCTGCAAGGCCAATGCTTTATCACTGAGCTACCCTGCCCCAGGGTCCCAGACCACTTTCCCTAGTGTCATAAGCCTGGGAACAGAACTGAATCTTCGACGGTGGGAATAGCCTGTGTGGCATGGCATGACAGAAGGGGCACTTTGAGAAAGCCTCAGAGCCGATGTGGCTCTGCCTCAAATTAGGAGTTGCTAGACAGTAACTATAGCCTTACAAGTAAGGAGCTCTTTTTTCCCCCCCTCTCCCTTCCAAAACTTAGTGGAAATTTTATATGATCTAGTTTTGCTTTTATTTCTGGGTCGAAGTTGTATTCGATTTCATTTGAAGAGATGGTTGCAGATTTGCCTATTTGAAACCATCGTGTCAAATCTTGCTGCCTAAAACGTAATATTTTCATCTCCTTTTCCCTTTTCACTTTGTAGTCTAGGCAGCCCCTGATCAACTAGCCCCCCTGCTGTCCCTTTAGAAAACATTTTTCTAGTTTGATTTACTCTAGAATAGTAATATGCCCCTGCTGGTTCTCTCTGTCACCAATTTATGAGTTTCTCTGGCTTGTAATGCTGCTTGGCAACATCTATCCCTGTCTTGAATCTGAGGTTTCTCAAACTAGCATTTTAAAATGCAGTAAGTGGCATCAAAAATGCCCTGTTCTTTGAGAAATTTATTTACTTAGATCCTTTTTAGGAAATTAATAATGCATATTAACATATTAAAGGTGTCACAAGTTCAGAAGTAAAAATTTTCTTTGACTTTCTCCAAGCTTTCCTTTCTCAACTTGTTTGAATTGAAACAATTTTTTGGAGGGATAATTATGACTAACTCATAAAAGCATTTTATAGGGCCCAAAGTTGAAACACAATTCTCCTGGTGCCTTGTCTCCCTACTCCAAGCCTTTAGAAATTCATCTAAAGTCCAAGCCCCATCTCAATTCTTTGTTTTCAAAACTAATCTCTATTTTGCTGTGAAAATGAAGGTTTTGACTTCCTTTTTTAATTGGTGAGTGGCTTCCTGTCCTTTGGTCTTGTTTAGACTTTGTCCCACCATCAAACTATCATCTGGATAATGTCAGAGAGCATAACATTTGCGCCCTCACCTCAAACACAGGCCTTTATACTGAACCTCCATCTCTTTTATTTAGCCATTTAATTTCTTTGTGCTCTGATTCAACCGCATCTGAGTGTACAAACAACTCCTTTGTGGTAGTGACTACCCTGAGTTAGACACCAGAGTTAAGGGACATGGTCCTCAATAAGACGGGTCATACCCACATTTCAATAACATTTGTCGGGGGGAGGACTTCCCAGGCCCACACTTCCTACCAACTTGCACTAAATCCTGAGGTTTCCTTCCATAGCTGGGTGATTGGCCTTGAGGTTGAACTCAGTCTCCAATCCCCCATTCTATTGGAGTTGCGTGTCAGGCCCATCTCCTGTGGCAGAAACCCAGTGCATGTGAGCTGTGATGCAGATGGGGGAGTACGGAGAGGTCATGGATTTGATCCCTGGCACCATGTACCTGCCCCCAACATTACTGGGTATGCCTGGTGCTTATTTTCTTGCAGTGTCAGGGAGCACTTGTGTGAGGCTTGTGCTACAACCCCTGAGCCACAGCTCCTCTTTCAGTTTGGGTTTTGTTTTTGTTTTTTTTGTTTTTAGTTTTGTTTTATTTTTTGTTCCATCTCTTGAATCACACGACTGACCTTTCGGGCATGGCCAATCCCCAGACTGAGCTAAGTGGGTAAGAAGGGGCAGGATAGCAGAGACACTTCTGATGCTCTGGATGGTCTAAGGATTTAGAGCCCTTCAAGCCAGGGACGGACCAATCAAAAATGACTGATGGTGTGGGAAGGAGGGCAAAGATCAAAATAGTAGAGACATAGGGACAATGGTGGAGGGCCATGGGCACAGTGGTGGTCCTGGGGTATAGTCATTTTGTATATTGATACCATAAACTTGAACACTATTATAACTACCCACATTGTAATAATTTTTTGGTGAGTAATAAAAAAAAAAAACTTTCCTTGACCCTGCATCCTTCTTTTTTAAAATCTCTCTTAGTAATATTCTCTCCCATTTGTTGCCATGACATGAGCCCATATAAATATAGAGCCTATATTTACTGTGTTTGCTATGATTTTATTCACTTCTGCCAGCTCCATACATAGTACCCATTAGTCTGGGGGATAGCTCTCATAGGTCTGGAACAGATGCTTTGCTTGTGGGAGCCCTGGAGTCAATCCATGGCATGGTCCCAGAGCATGTGGATCGGATGTGGCCCAAATACCACCCTCCCCCCCACATACACCCCACACAAATAAGTACCTTGTAAAGGTCACTGAGTGGCCTCCAATTAGTAAATCCATTTTATTTTTCAATCTTCAGCCTAACCTGACTCTACTGCATGCCACTCCTGTGATTAACCTTCTTCTCTGTCTGTTCAAGCTTAACATTCTTGTTTAAAACTTTCCTCCATCTCAGTCACTCATTTTTTCCCGTGTCCCAGATGGTGTTCCTTAGAAAAAGTGGTGCTCCGCTCACTCTCACTGGAAACTCTCCCTAAGCAGTGCCGTTCATTTCCTCATAGCTTTTCACATGAATGATGCCACAGCTGGATTCACATGGGATTTTATCTGTAATGCAGGCTCTCAATTCTGGCTTCACTAGAATTGGCACCTGGTCGTACTATAGGCATCATGTCCAAAGTAAAACTCCTGACTTTTTGTGTCATTTAACTTTGTATTTAGGAATGATAATAGAATTCAGTCCATACGGTAACATTGAAAGGATTGAGTGAGATCAAGCATGATGCTCTGGCACTGGACCATGGATGTGGTTCAAGACACCTCAAGTTGCATCCCTGGAACCACATGGCCCATTAGCCACTGTCAGGTGATAACTAAGCACTGCCAGGCTTGTTCCCCTGCAGCAGTAAAATAACAATATTCTGGCATATAAAAAGTAGCTATTATCATGTGAGTCTTTTCTGTTGCAGCTTCTTGAAGGCAGGAGTCATGTCCCCAAAGGAATCAGTGTCAGTGTCCTTGGGTTATAATAGTGTCCTTGGGTTATAACAGTAAAGGTTGATCGTGACCAGTAATGATGTTTTATAGTTTAGCTTAAGAAGCATCTTGCTGAACAATCAGCAACATCACGTGTTTGTTTTTTCTCCCTAGGTGCACTGTGTTGTAGTCATTCAAAAGACAACCAGATGTGCCGTGATGTATGTGAACAGGTAAGCTTATATAATACTTTTAGAGATTATGATTCCTGTATGTGTTTGTTATGGAAAATCTTAACCAAGTGACTAGGATTCACAGTAGCAATAAGGAAGCAACGAAGCACACATTTGCTGCCATGACATGAGGAAAGGAAAATATGTCATGTAGGATTTCTGCCCAAAGTACAAAATCTAAATCATGAGGAAACAACAGGGTAAGCCTAAATTGAGGAATACTGTTCCTCAAAGCAATAGCCCAAGTCTTCCAAAAATGTCAGTATTGTAAAAAAAAAAGGCTACAAAACTTCCAGGCCAAGGAAAACTACAGACTCTTAGGTAGTCAGAGAGCTCAGTGGAACCTCCAAATGTTAAGTGGCCACAAGCCTGAGCTCAGCCACCGACTGAGACACACAGGACAGATTTTTCATAGTTTTATTCACACACCAAAACACACTCATACAAGGGACCCAGTGCTAAAGGCACTCAAACAAGAGATTCAGCACTGAGGGGTCACAAGCCTAAAAGACTTGGAACCTGAGCATTAGAGAATCAGCACTGAGGGTTCATATGCCTAAGAGACTTGAAACCAGGATTGCCATCCGGAAAAGGTTTTTTTTTTTTCTTTTTGGGCCACACCCAGCGATGCACAGGGGTTATTCCTCATTCTGCACTCAGTAACTACTCCTAGCGGTGCTCAGGGGATCATATGGGATGCTGGGGGATCAAACCCGGGTCAACTGCATGCAAGGCAAACGCCCTACCCTCTATACTATTGCTCCAGCCCCAGCTGGGAGAGATTTTTAAGCCCTATGCCCTCCTGCCTACATGCCTGGATGCATGCCTGCATGTCTGAGAGCCCCCTGCCAGGTGCATTCTCATAACTTTGAGCAAGCAAGCAGAGGGTACAGAAGCAAAACAGTGGTTAACACATCTTGTTACATTTCTTGAATTATCCATGGTCAGATGTATGGGCTTTTAAGACCATGCCCTTGGGATCTGGTATGTTTTTCTTATGAGGTTGTAAACTCATGACCCTGAGGCATAAAATGGAGTCTGGCTTTCCAAAACGGAGTTGCAGTGGTTCTTTCAAGACACCACAACTAAATGCAATATGCAGTCCTGACTGAATCGTAGAACTTAAACAATTGCTATGAAGAGTGGTATTGGGATAAAGAGGTCCCTCTGCATGACTCAGTGGCAAAAGCACCACTCTGCAGGTATGAGACCACAAGTTTGACCCCCAATGCTTCCCATAGGCACTGAACTCAGTCCCAGGACTTCTCCTGTTTGGGACTCCTGGCACTGCAAGACTCTGTGCCATGCTGTGGCCAGGTTTGTGTAAGCACTACACAAAAGTGTGTGACCTTCCAGAGGAGCACCACAGCTGAAAGCAGTGAGCCATGGGCAGGTGTGAGACTCTCAGAATACATGAGTACAAGCACTTTACCTGAAAGTGTGTGTCGTACCCCCCTTCCCCCCCTCCCCAAACACTGTAGCTGGCTGTGTGGGCACTGCAAGTACATGTTCATCCTCCAGCACAAACCAAAACCAGCATGTGCAACCTTGGCCATAGAAACAGTAGGTAAAGGGAGATGGGAAGGGAAATGAACAAAAGAAGAGTGGGCAGGAGAGACAGTGCAGCAGGTAGGGCACTAGCCTTGCACTCGTTTGATCCAGGTTCTCTCCCCAGCCCCCATAGATTCCCTGAACCCTGCCAGGAGAGACCCCTGAGCGGAGTCACAAGCCCTGCGCACAGGCGGAGGTAACCCTCCAAAACAAAAAAGCTAAAAATAAAAAGAAACAGTCTATTAATGGGATGAGTTGGCAAAATACAGATGTGGACTGTGTAATCACTTAATGCTTCAGTGCTGTAATCCTGTATTTGGTCATTGTACTAAGGGGGTGGGGAGTGGGTAGGAGGGTGTACTTCTTCATAGGGGGTACAAGCTAGGATTTAGACATGATCCTGTCTGCAACAAATTCTAAAACGTTTCCTCGAAATAATGGCAATAGTACTGTGTGTTTATGTAGAGAGAGAGTTTGAACAGAATGTTTTGAAGGGCTGAATCTGGATGCAAACTCTGTGGGTAGTCATTATACTGCGTGGGAAACTTGCCCGTAGGTCTGAATTCTTCTGACTCAGCCTTTTTAAGCAAGTTCTACGGTGACTGTACTTGTTCATAAGGGCTTTCTTTCATCATCTTGGGGGTGCAGTCTTAGCCCGGGCACTTGAGAATTAATGGCCTCAATCACCATTTGGAGGAGTTTTCAAGAATAGCCTTGATTTTGCCCTAAAACTAAGAATGCTGCCTAACTGGGATTAAAGCTTTTCCCAGGTAATGCTATGAACCCGTAAAGATTTGCAAGATGCTCTTTAATTATAAAGCAAGATGGTGACTCAGCTCATTTAAATAACTGCTAGAGCTCTCAGGACTATACCAAATTAATTTTCTGCAAATGTACTGCCACAGCAGTAGCAAAATTGAGGTATTACAAGGCCTAAAGGCACCGGTCTTGCACACAATCAACCCATCGCAGCACTGCAGATAGTCCTTTCAGCACCACCAGAAGAGTGAGCCCTGAGCACCATGTGAGAGTGAGGCGTAGGCACCACGGAGTGTGGACCCCTATACACACACACACACACAAGTACACCACACACACACACGCATATCAAACACACAATTCACAGCAAAAAAAGTTGACCACTGAAACATTAAATAGATACTACAGAGTAGCAGGTTGGGTGATTGCCTTGCATGCAGCCAACCCAGTGCCATCTCTAAAACCATGTATAGTCCCCCAAGTCCCACCATGAGTGACCCCTGAGCATAGAGCCAGGAGTAAGCCCTGCATGCCATGGGGTGCAATCCCAAAACAAAAACAATCCAAAAAATGATCCTTGAATGTCATCATGAGGGAGTTTCAGTGTTGCCGTGATGGAAGCACTGTTATCCCCACCCGTGGCTTTCCTCTCTACTATTCCATGGGGGACCAGCAACAGAAAAGGTTTGTCTTAAAATCTGAAAAGTTAGGACTCCTATTAAGTAAATGCTATGCTAGTGATCCTCTGTTGAATGAACTCTTCCCTGACCATCGTCTTAACGAATTGAGAAATAAGACAAAGGAATAAGATGGATAGTATCCCAAATGTTCCTTGTATTACTAGTTACACAAATAAGAAATAGCTTTTATCACCAGAAGCACACTAAACTGCAGAATTAGGGACTGGAGTGATAACACAGCAGGTAGGGCATTTGCCTTGCACGTGGCTGACCCAGTTTCGATTCCCAGCATCCCATATGGTACCCTGAGCTCCGCCAGGGGTAATTCCTGAGTGCAGAACCAGGAGTAATCCCTGTGCATAGCCGGGTGTGACTCAAAAAGCAAAAAAAAAAAAAAAAAAAAAGGGCTTCCTGTTGTCAGGGGCTGGGAGGCCGCCACCACTGCATCGGGAGCAAAGCTGAGGGGCTGCCTCGGCTCTGAGCACCCCTTACCACCTCCCGACTCCCTGTGCACTGGGCACCTTTTCATGTGAAGATGGAGATTTTGACTGGGAGATGGAACATTTTCTTCAGAATGCAGAAATGGCTGAGTGACAGATTCCTCAGGTGGCTCTGGAGGCTGAACCTGCATCTCCTGCTGGACTGAAGGTTCATCCTCATTACTGAACTCTGTAGACATGGAAAATGTCACACCCATAGGTTTAGCAGTGACATGGGACAAATTTAAGCTTGGAGCTTCATTCTGACTTGGAGATGGAATATTTTCTTCGGGACGCAGAGTGGTTAAGCGACAGGTTCCTCAGGTGGCTCAGAAGGTTGATCCAGGATCTCCTGTGGTACTAGAGAAGGTTCAACCTCATTACTCACTTCTGAAAGTATGGAAAATGACACACCCAAAGATTTAGCAGTGACAAGAGGCAAGTTTAAGTATGGAGCATCATTCTGACTTGGAGTTGCAACATTTTCCTCAGGATGCAGAAATGGTTGCGCTTCCAACTTCATAGAGGATTCAGGAGGCTGAGCTAGGGATTCCTGCTGGACTGAAGATTGAGTCACCTCAGGGATCTTTGGAGCTTGAGCCACTGCCTCCTGCTGATTGGCAGAATCACCCTCAGGGCTCTCTAGAGGCTGAAACTGGGCCTGAGTTTGGGCTAGAGATTGCTCATTCTCTTCAAGGCTCTCTGCAGTGTGAGTTAGATTTAGGGTTTCTAGCTGGGTTGAAGTTTCACCCTCATTGGTGACCCTTGGAGTTCTGGTAATCTGCAGTTGGCAGGTTTGATGGTGACAGTAGATGCATTTGAAAGATGGGCTTCTTTCTGGATTGGAGACAGTTCACTTTCCTGATGATGCAGTAAAAACTGCGCTACAAGTTCCATATCTGACTATGAAGGCTGAGCTTCCACCTCCTGAGGCACTGAAGATCCCCTTTCCTCAGCAGCCAATATAGGCTGAACTAGGGTTTCTCACAGGACTGAAGCAGTATCACCCTCTTCAGGGGTACTTAACAGCAAATCTGAGTCCTGAACTAAAGAAGATTTCAATTTCTCGGGTGATCCTGAAGTGCAGCTGGACTCTGTTGTGGGCTTGCTAAAACTTCAGCTTCTGGGGCCTTAAAGGGAATCTTGTTCTATCTCTTCAAAGGGTTCTGGATGCTGAGGCTGGGGTGAAAAGGATTCAGTTTCATGAGGGATCTGTGGATGCTGCTCTGAATCTCCCAGAACCTCCAAAGGTTCACTCCCCTCAGGATAAAAGATATGCATACTGGAATCTGAGTAATCATCCTGCATCTATTGTGGTAGACGATGAGGTCTCAGATTTTCTGGGAGTTCCAACAACTTTAGCAATATGGTGACGGCCAACTAAACTCTTCCTCTGGTTTTCAGGTGAAATAATGAACTTTCATTAAATTTTGGAATCTGTCCACCTAGACGTGGAGTAGGCACTTCAAATGAGTGATCTTCGGGTTGATCTAGACCTAGCTGAAATTGTACTTGACTCTCTAGGAGGCAA